ATCGGTTCTCGAAGGCCTGTCGTCTCCTTCCCATGCCGGGTCTTCCTACTGCCCTACAGACCGCTGAGGCTCTATTTACTCACGTCTTCCGGCATTACGGGGTACCCGAGGATATAGTGTCCGATCGAGGCCCCCAGTTTACCTCCAGAGTCTGGAGAGCCTTTATGGAACGGTTGGGGGTCTCGGTGAGCCTTACCTCGGGTTACCACCCGGAGAGTAATGGGCAGGTCGAACGAGTCAACCAGGATGTGGGTAGGTTTCTGAGGTCATATTGTCAGGGCCGGCCGGAGGAGTGGGCGAGATATGTGCCCTGGGCCGAGATGGCACAGAACTCTCTCCGCCACTCCTCCACTAGACTAACCCCTTTCCAGTGTGTGTTAGGGTACCAGCCGGTTCTAGCACCTTGGCATGAGAGCCAGATCGAGGCCCCTGCTGTGGATGAGTGGGTGCGGCGCTCGGAGGAGACGTGGAACGCTGCACACGTCCATCTGCAGCGAGCCATCCGTCGACAGAAGACGAGCGCCGACCTACACCGCAGTGAGGGGCCAGTGTACGCACCTGGAGATCGAGTCTGGCTCTCAACCAGAAACCTGCCCCTCCGCCTGCCCTGCCGGAAGCTGGGTCGGCAGTTTGTGGGGCCTTTTAAAGTCCTGAGGAGATTGAACGAGGTGTGTTACAGGTTACAACTGCCCATTGATTACAAGAATATTAACCCCTCGTTCCATGTGTCTCTCCTCAGGCCGGTGGTAGCTGGTCCACTCCAGGACTTTGAGATTGAGGAGACTCCTCCGCCCCCGTTGGACATCGAGGGGGCTCCGGCGTACACTGTTCGGACCATCCTGGATTCGAGACGCCGGATGGGGGGTCTCCAATATCTCGTGGAGTGGGAGGGGTACGGTCCGGAGGAGCGGTGCTGGGTGCCGAGGAGGGACATTCTGGATCCGTCCCTGCTGACCGAATTCCATCGTGGTCATCCTACGCGCCCTGCTCCGCGTCCTCCTGGTCGTCCCCGAGGCCGGGGGCGGCGCACGGCTGGTGCCGCGCGTCAAGGGGGGGGGTACTGTCACGGTTTCGGCCGAGGCGGCCCCTCCTCCTTGTTCGGGCAGGTTTCGGCGGTCGTCGTCTCCGGAGTACTAGCTGCCACCGTTCTATGTTTCTTGTTTGATTGGTTTTGTCTGTTTGTCACACCTGTTTTGTGTTATGTCTCATTAAGCACCCTATTTAGTTCCTTGTTGTTAGTTAGGTGTTGTGTGTAATTGTTTCCTTGTCGTGTTGCTGCGCTACCTATTTTGGTGCGCTATTTTGTAGCTTGCCTCCTTGTTGTTTTTAGGAGAGATTTACGCACATGTTTAGTGCGCCCGTTTGCTTACGCCTGTGCGCGCTTTTCTCGCCTCCGGGCTGTTCTTGGATTATTTTGTGTGATCTACTAAAGTCTTTGTTTGGACTTAACTTCTGCGTCCTGCGCCTGATTCCACACCACACCTACCTACAGCAACTCTTGACAGTTACCTAATTGTTGTGCCTTGGGCTATAAGTCCAGTTAGAAAGTACCTTAATCTAAAAGTGTAAGCACATAGAGACGTTTACATTAAAATACATGGATTAGAAATGATAAGATGTTTTGTGACCCATTTTTTTATTGCTCAGAATACTCAGAAGTGAAATAACATCAGGCAAAAAGATGCTGACAGTAGTAAGGATATTGGCTAAGGTTGCAAAAACTAGGGCCTGTAAGTGCATACACACACATATGCACATGCATTCAGGTACACACTAACACACACACTTTCACTGTGGTGTAAAGTACTTAAGTAAAAATTCTTGAAAGTATTACTTAAGTCGTTTTTGGGGGTATTTGTACTTTACTTTACTAATTACATTTTGAATGCTTAGCAGAACAGGAAAATGGTCTAATTCACACACTTATCAAGAGAGCATACCTGGTCATCCCTACTGCCTCTGATCTGGCGGACTCACCAAACACATGCTTCGTTAGTAAATTATGTCTGAGTGTTGGAGCGTGCACCTGGCTATCCGTAAAAAAAATGGTGCCTTCTGGTTTGCTTAATATAAGGAATTTGAAATGATTTATACTTTTACTTTTGATACTTAAGTATATTTAGCAATTACATTTACTTTTGATACTTAAGTATATTTAAAACCAAATACTTTCAGACTTTTACTCAAGTAGGATTTCACTGTGTGACTATCACTTTTACTTTAGTCATTTTCTATTAAGGTATGACAATTGGGTACTTTTTCCACCACTGCACTTTCACACACAATGGGGAGATCAATTTCTCTCAGAAATTAGGGCATCAGAAGAGTGATGGAGTGGGATCATCTTTGATCGTATCCTCAGGCCCATAAATATTGCAGGGCAGTAAGAGAGGAAGACAGTCTATGAAGTGGTAGTCTAGGGTATAATTGGAGGGGGATTGATAGCTTTTTCCTCCTAGAACTGGCAGTTTTACAGCCAAGTAGAAACCTGTGTACACACAGATTTACCAGTCACACTCTCATCTGTGTTTAATATATATTATAAAGTGGGTCGTTTGTGTCCTGGATGCTGATTGGCTGAAAGCTGTGGTATATCAGATAATATACCATGGGTATGGGAAAAAAATGTTTATATTGTTCTAATTACGTTGGTAACCACGTTGTGTCGTGCCTAAGAACAGCCCTTAGCAGTGGTATATTGGCCATATACCACACCTCTTTGGGCCTTTTTGCTTAATTGTGCCATCGATACAACACATTTAAACTGTTGCATGTCTTGCTTAGTTGCACCTCACCACACTTCGTTGGAGTGGAATTAATTCCAACCAAACTTGCAATAGAACTGTGTATAGATGAAAAGTTGATAAATTGAAAGCTACTCTCACAGTGAGACTAACACACCCTGCACTTCAAGCCAACTGAATCTTTTAATGAGGCCCTGGGAGAAAACAAAACAACAGTACAATCAGTCCACCCGATTTATTATGCATTGAACAGATGATTACCAATGCTGAAATAAAGTAGATTGGGTCCTTTCACTGAGCTCTTAATTCAATAACTAGTTTACCACCAATCAACACAACAAAGGGTGCATCACTGCAGAGACCTATAAGTGGGCAGAACTAGAACAACATCAGTCAACAGACACAACCAAGAGAATATAGAACACTCAGATTAGATCACTTCTACCCTGGGAATGTACTTTAGGCATACAAATAAGCAGTCATTTATATTAAGCTCATTTATATTAGCTGCTTTTGAGAAAATATTAACTTTCTATCCCCTTTATCTTTTACAACGTCTAAAGAGACAGAGAGAGGGAGAGGGAGAGAGAGAGAGAGCGAGAGAGAAAGAAAGAAAGAGAGAGAGATTGAGGAGTAGAGAGAGAAAGAGAGAGATAGAGAGATTGAACATTGAGGAGTAGGAGAGAGAGAGAGAGAGATGGGGGAGGGTAGAGATGACAAGTTGACAGGTTCTCTCTCCGCAGGACATCTCATTGCACTCTGGGTCGGGGATGAAATCATGTCATACAAATGAAGGAAACAAGCAAATGCAACTTCAGTCTGGAACCACCTCCATTACACTAGCATGAGTAGTGACCATCACATTTCCAGCTGTAGACACAGGAAGACCCCTAAATGATTCCATGGAAACTGCAGTGCAATGCTCAGAAAAGTGTTCTCTCTTATCACAGCAATTTGAGGGACAATTTAGCTGTCTCTGCCTACAACTCTTTGCTCTGCAGAGCTTCTGGGTCTTTTGTTGTGAGTCCTTCATCTCTGTCTCCTGTGTTCCACTCTATATCCATCTGATGAGTATTAAATCAAAGCCCATTCCTTCACAAACTCTTCACATGGACAAGATAATTGTGTTCAATATCAATGCATCAGTAATTCAATAAGCATTATTGGCCTTATTTAGCAACAATATCAGCAGCCTGTAAATAAAATCTGCCTAAACCCCCAAGGGGAGACAAAGATAAATCAATGTTGCCATGGTAACAACCCCCCTGCACTGGTGGTGACAGGCAGGCCACTTGAGAAAGAGAACCTTACGACTAAATGGAGGAAAATGTCACCAGTTTTACTGTTAAAAGTGACATTGTGTGTCTAGGAATTTGTAATGTGCCGTCATTAGTTTATTCAGAGTGAGGCATTTTGGGATGCTAATAAAGATATAAAATAACTTTTCCAATGGATCTCGAGTAAGATTCATTCACAGTGCCTGCTTTTATTGGCTTACAATCGTTGACATTATTTAGATTATGACAGAAATCATGATTCATATCTGTTATGCATAAAAGCCTCATTCAGATATAAAGGAGTATAATTGCTCTGTCGCTCAAGATTCCATTATTTTTAGCATAAGGCACAACTATTCAATTTATGGCAAATCCCAGCCATTATTTGAGCTGACATTTTTATTGCTAACTTTATGGCCAAAACAAATGGAATGACTAAGAGCTTAATAAAATGTGTTTTATGTTAATCATACAATATTGTATTTGCATAACCTTTTGTCTTGGCTGAAAATTTATTTTTGAGAAAACCACAGCAGTTGTTGCTGAGTGATTTCTCATGCTCGCTGTGACTTCCTCCACCCTGGCTATGGCTACATTCATACAGTAGACACCTCTCAATAAAGGTATTCCATAAAAAAAACTATGTAAGAAAATGAAAAAGAAAATATTAGAAAAAAAAGAAAAAAAAGAAGAAAAAGAAGCAGCCTTCTTCCCTTGCAAATAATAATACATTGGCCAAAGTCAGCATTTGTAGAGGTGTACCTCTATGACAAAATGCGTCATTTGAACTCAGTTTCTCTTTAGTATGTACTGAATGCTGCTGAACAAATATGGGCCTATTGTAAGTTAATTCCTGCATCTTAAAGAAGGAGCTACCTTTGTTAAGTGAGCTGGTCTAATAGAACATGTCAGGTCCTGGCGCAGGCCTTGGCTTTCTCCTCGTGCTGTGCAGAAAGATCAACTTTTTGATTCATTTCTCTCAGCAGGCACCGCAGGCAATGGACCTGTTGGGAGAGAGCTGATAGCTGGGCTGTGAGTCAGGAGTCAGGGGGAAACGGAAGGTCACCTCAGCTCTGGACGGCTGCACTGCTGCCAGCTTCACACTCCAGCGGAGCAGTAAAAAGAGCCCAGACACCAGCACGGACACACCAGCCACCTAGAACATGCTCTGGGCTGGAACATGAATATGACAAATCTCCAGCTGCATTCCCACACACTGTGCCAACAGACAGTATTAGGCTCATGTTTCAGTAATTTGGGATTGCTTAATCTGGTTTCAGTTATTGCTCCAGAGCCTTGCCAAATGAATCTCTTTAAATTTGATCTCCATTTGGTGCCATGGTTTTAGGGGTAACCCCATTCTGTCAGATTTGACAAATGAAAATGATTCACTGTATTTTCAGAAACACAGACACAGCCAACCTGTGCATGGGCGTTTATCTATCGCACCATGAATTTTAAGAAAAATCCAACCCAATGAAATCACAACTACTCTCAGTAAATGCTTGTCCTGACTTTGACCCATGTAGCTTTTTCCACACTCCTCCAAAAGCATGGCTTACACAGGGGCATGATGCCTAGAATTAAAGGGGAATGGAAACACTAGGATTTAGAATGCCAGCTAACTGTAACTGTAAATCGCCATTTTGGCATTTTTGGGTCACTGGCAGGAGAGAAAAATTTGGAAATCCCAAAAATGGCTGAATTTAACGGGAGTAGCTCCGAGTCTGAGAATGAGTTTATAACAGAGAATGAAATAACGTTAGTTAGGGAGCCAATAAGCCTACTGAAGCCGTTCATGTTTGAGCCGATTGTTGCCCCAGATAAAATAGTTAGTTCTCGTAGCTGTGATGAGTGTGATAGAAGGAGTCAGGCGCAGGAGGTTATCACCGAATGCAGAGTTTATTCTGTCGTACACAAATAGCGCTGGATAGCGAAAAACGAAACAGGCACAACGGAAATATCTACCCCGGCAATAACAAGGTACGAGTTGCTCCACCAAGCTACACTACTCTCAAGAATAAACAATCACCCACAAGGACAAGGGGGGCAGATGGAACACTTATACACGGACTAATGAGGGGATAAGAACCAGGTGTGTGTAATTAAAAATACAAATGGAATGATGATATATGGAGGGCAGTGGCTAGTAAGCCGGTGACGACGAACGCCGAAGCATGCCCGAACAAGGAGGGGAGGCAGCCTCGGCGGAAGACGTGACAGTACACCCCCCCCCCTTGATGCGAAGCTCCAGCAGCGCGCCGACCCTGGCCTAGGGTACGGCCAGGAGGATGCGTAGCAGGGCGAGCCGGATGGCGACGGTGGAAATCCCACAACAGGGAGGGATCGAGGATTTACCTCACCGGGACCCAGCACCGTTCCTCTGGACCGTACCCCTCCCATTCCACGAGGTACTGAAGGCGCCTCAAATCCAGGATGGAACGGACAGAGTACGCCGGGGCCCCCTCGATGTCCAGAGGAGGTGGAGGAACCTCCCGCACCTCAGACACCTGGAGAGGACCAACCACCACCGGCCTGAGGAGAGACACACGAAACGAGGGGTTAGTACGATAATCAGGGGGAAGTAATAACCTATAAGTGACCTCGTTGATTCTCCTCAGGACTTTGAACGGCCCCACAAACCGGGCTCAGCTTCCGGCAGGGCAGGCAGAGGGGCAGATTCCGGGTCGAGAGCCAGACCCGATCCCCCGGTACGAAGACCGGGGCCTCACTGCGGTGGCGGTCAGTGTTGGCCTTCTGACGACGCACAGCGCGCTGGAGGTGAACGTGGGCAGCGTCCCACATCTCCTCTGCGCGCCGAAACCAGTCACCCACCACAGGAGCCTCGGTCTGGCTCTGGTGCCACGGTGCCAGAACCGGTTGGTAATCTAAAACACATTTGAATGGCGTAAGGTTAGTGGAGGAGAGGCGGAGAGAGTTCTGGTCATATTCTGCCCATGGCAAGAACACCGACCACTCCCCCGGCCGGTCCTGGCAGTAGGACTGCAGGAACCTACCCACATCCTGATTTACCTGTTCCACCTGCCCATTTGACTCAGGGTGGAACCCAGAGGTCAGGCTGACCGAGACCCCCAGACGTTCCATGAACGCCTTTCAGACCTTGGACGTGAACTGGGGACCTCGGTCGGACACTATATCCTCTGGTACCCCGTAGTGCCGGAAGACGTGAGTAAAGAGGGCCATTGCAGTTTGCAGGGCCGTGGGGAGATCGGGCAGAGGAAGTAGGCGGCAGGACTTGGAAAGGCGGTCCACAACGACCAGGATGGTGGTGTTACCTTGGGAGAGGGGAAAATCTGTCAAAAAAATCAACACTTAGGTGAGACCATGGTCGTTGTGGAACTGGTAAAGGTTGTAACTTACCTGCTGGGAGGTGCCTAGGTGCCTTACTCTGGGCGCACACTGAGCAGGAGGAGACATACATTCTCACGTCCTTAGCCAAGGTAGGCCACCAGTACTTTCCGGTCAGGCAGTGCACTGTACGACCGATACCTGGGTGACCAGAGGAGGGTGACGTGTGTGCCCAGTAGATCAGACGAGCACGGATAAGAGCAGGCATGTACCGCAGCCCAGCTGGACACTGAGGTGGAGATGGATCTGTGCGTAAGCCTGCTCTATATCCGCGTCCATCGCCCATACTACCAGCGCACACAATGCAGGAGGCCGGGAGTATGGGGGTGTTGTCTCTGGGCCTCTCCTCTGTGTCATACAGCCGGGACGTTGCGTCTGCCTTCACGTTCTTCGTACCCGGAATGTATGACAGTGTAAAATCAAACCGGGTGAAGAATATGGCCCACCTGGCCTGGCAAGGTTTCAGCCTCCTCGCTGCCCGGATGTACTCCAGGTTATGGTTGTCCGTCCAGACAAGGAAAGGGTGTTTTGCCCCTTCGAGCCAATGCCTCCACACGGTCAAAGCTCGGACAACAGCCAACAGCTCCCGATCACCAACGTTGTAGTTCCGCTCCGCCGGGCTGAGCTTCTTTGAGAAGAAGGCACAGGGGAGTAGCTTGGGTGGCGTGCCCGAGCGTTGAGACAGGACAGCGCCTATCCCTACCTCGGACGCATCCACCTCCACTATGAACGGTAGTGATGGATCAGGGTGGGCCAGAGGTGAACAGACCCCGCAGTTTGCTGACGGCCAGGGATGTAATGGCAGATGTGACCTTGCCAAAGCCCCGGATAAACCTCAGATTGTAGTTGGCGAAGCCAAGGAAGCGCTGCACCTCCTTAACCGTGGTTGGAGTCGGCCAATTACGCACGGCTGAAATGCGATCTCCCTCCATCTCCACACCTGAGGTGGTAATGCGGTATCTGAGGAAGGAGACGGACTGCTGGAAAAACATACACGTTTTGTTGGAAATTGTTTAGTGGACTATGAGATAAAACTGAGTTAATCATGAACATATAGTTAACATTCTTTGTGGCTAACTGAATTGGGTCATTTCACTGTGTGTGTGGGTAAAAAAGGGAATCTTACCTAGGGTCAATTTGCTCGCTTTTACTTAAATCCATGGCTGTCCTATCTTATCAGGGACTGAAACTAGCCTGTGGCCTTTTGTCTCTCTCTTCACACAAAGTGATAAAGAGCGGCGCCAGGGTTGAACAGAGTTTAAACTAAACATGAGTGTTTTTGCAAGATAAGGGATTGATTGAGTGTATTACTATTGATTCTGAACTGAATGAAAGTCGAATGTAGCCGCCACCATAGACAAAGGGAGTGGGTGGAGCAATAAAAGATCGGGAAACTGAGGAGGGAGGGATTTTAAAGCTAGGGTGTGTGGAGGGCACTATACAAGATGGAGGGAGAGAGGGAGAGGAGATGCTACTCTGCAGACCGGCATCGACTTTGTTGAAATTATAAAAAAGTCATTCTTAATTTTACAAAAACTCTGGAAGTATTTTGATTTGTAATAAAGTATAGTGATTATTTTCCACAACATTCTCTGCCTTGGCATAAAGGGCATTTTCCAACAGTCGGCCCAGCACTTTGTGAACCAGGGACACATGCTCGGCGCGCCTAGCAGAATACACAAAAATGTCATAAATGCAGACCCCCACACCGCGACCAAGCATGTCCCGAAACACCTTGTTCACAAAGGACTGGAAGACGGATGGAGCATTCATCAAACCGTAGGGCATCACCAGGTATTCATAATGCCCCGTGGTTGTGCTGAATGCTGTCTTCCACTCATCCCCCTCCCGAACACGCACCAGGTTGTATGCACTCCTGAGATCTAATTTGGTGAAGAAGCGCTCCCCATGTACTGACTCAATCACTGAAGGAATAAGGGGGAGAGGATAACAAAATCTTATAGTCTCCTAGTTCAGTGATCGATAATCAATGCACGGGCGCAGACCGCCGTCTTTCTTCACAAAGATGAAACTCTAGGAGGCGGGTGAAGTGGAGGGACGTATATAACCCTGGCCCAGGGACTCGGTGACGTATGTTTCCATAGCCTTCGTTTCAGCCTGCGACAGGGGGTACACATGACTCCTGGGAGGTACAGCGTCTACCCGAAGGTTTATCGCGCAACCCCCACCCGATGAGGTGGTAATTCTGTCGCCTGTGTCTTAGAAAAAGCGTGCGCCAGATCATGATATTCGGGGGGTATGCGCACGGTGGAGGTACCGTCTGGACTTTCCACCGTGGTAGCACCAACGGAAACACCTAGACACCTACCCTGACATTCTCGCGACCACCCCATGAGAACCCTCTGCGGCCATGAGAAGGTGGGGTTGTGGAGTGCTAGCCAAGGGATACCTAATACCACAGGGAAAGCAGGAGACTCAATAATCGAAAAAGTAACCTGCTCACAATGAGTCTCCTGGGTGATCATAGAGACTGGTACAGTGACTTCCTTTACAAACCCTATTGGTCAACTATCAAGTGCTCTGATGGAGAGTGGAATGGATAGGGAAATCAATGAAATGCCTTGACGGCGTGAGAATGCCCTGTCCATAAAGTTCCCAGCTGCGCCTGAATCGATTAGTGCCTTACACTGGGGAACTACCATGTGATCGGGAAAGTGGATAGGTAGGGTACAGTGCGCAGCAGAGGGCTCTGAACGAGTGTGGGTGTTCGATACCTGGGGTGATGCGAGAGTGCCCTGCCTGCCGCCTCCAGTCCCAAAAGAGCGTTGACTGCAACGTGTGGTCACCAGAGTGGCACTGTTGCTGTCGTCCTCCGCTCTCTCGGATGGCGGCTCCACCCAGCTCCATCAGCTCGGGATCCGAGTCGTCCGGGGTGGAAATGGGCAGACCCCTACCAGGACGTCCTCTGGCTGCCAGCAGGTTGTCCAAACGGATGGCCATATCCACTAGTTTCGTGAAAGACAACATGGTGTCCCGGCAGGCTAGCTCCCGTCGGACGTCCTCCCGCAGATGGCACAGGGAAATGGTCGATCAGGGCCCGCTCGTTCCACCCGGACCCCGCTGCCAGAGTCCGAAACTCCAACGAGAAGTCCTGCGCGGTCCTCGACCCCTGCCTCAGGTGGACCAGCCGCTCGCCCGCCTCTCGACCCTCGGGCGGGTGATTGAAGTCGCCCGAAAGAGGCGAGTGAATTCCCCGTAGTCCTCCAACGCGGCTCCTTCTTCGTTCCAAACCGCGTTAGCCCACTCCAGGGCTTTCCCAGAGAGGCAGGAAACAAGGACGGACACCTTCTCCCGCTCCGATGGCGCCGGCCTGATGCTGGAGAAGTAAAGCTCCAGTTGGAGGAGGAATCCTTGGCAGAGCGCCGCCGTCCCGTCGGAATATCTCGATCCCTCCTGGTGCTGGGGTGTAGGTGGCTGGATCCGGTTGGCCAGCTGGTCTCTACAGATCGGGTCCTCTTCTCTCCAGGCGTTGGACGACCTGAAGAACCCGATCCATCGCTTCCCCCAAGCTGGTCAGCATCGTGGAATGCTCCTGGATCCGTGCCACAACTCCAGGCATGCGCTCTTCTCCCGCTGACTCCATAGCGGGTGGTTGATTCTGTGATGAGTGTGATAGAAGGAGTCAGGCGCAGGAGGGTTATCACCGAATGGAGAGTTTATTCCGTAGTACACAAATAGCGCTGGATAACGACAAACAAAACAGGCACAGGGGAAATATCTACCCCGGCAATAACAAGGTACGAGTAGCTCCACCGAGCTCCACTACTCTCACGAATAAACAATCACCCACAAGGACAAGGGGAGCAGAGGGAACACTTATACACAGACTAATGAGGGGATAAGAACCAGGTGTGTGTAATTAACAAAACAAGACAAATGGAATGATGATATATGGAGCGGCAGTGGCTAGTAAGCCGGTGATGACGAACGCCGAAGCCTTTCCGAACAAGGAGGGCAGGCAGCCTCGGTGGAAGTCATGACAGTAGTAGTAACAACACAGATACACCTCAGCTAGAGGGTCGGTTTTGCGGTGACACAAACTGGTGTGAGTGCGGATGCTGGCAGATAATGGCTAGAGAGTATGAGTGTGTGCCTTGTTCGGGCAGGCTTCGGCGTTCGTCGTCACCGGCTCACTAGCCACTGCCGCTCCATATATCATCATTCCATTTCTCCCAAGTGGCGCAGTGGTCTAAGGCACTGCATCGCAGTGCTAGCTGTGCCACTAGAGATCCTGGTTCGAATCCAGGCTCTGTCGTAGCCGGCCGTGACCGGGAGACCCATGGGGCGGCGCACAATTTGTCCAGGATAGGGGAGGGAATGGCCGGCAGGGATGTAGCTCAGTTGGTAGAGCATGGTGTTTGCAACGCCAGGGTTGTGGGTTTGATTCCCACGGGGGGGGCAGTATAAAAAAATTAATAATAATGTATGCACTCACTAACTGTAAGTCGCTCTGGATAAGAGCGTCTGCTAAATGACTAAAAATAAAAAAATAAATGGTGGTGATACAGCACAAAATCCCAGTGGATGGTGGCTGTATTACATCCATTAAGAGGTTCCAGTCTGTCTGGATGGCGATGTATTGGACGTGTCACTAATCCTTATGAAGGACTTCCTGGCAGAAGAGGTTACTCGACCAATCAGCAGCCGGTATGCCAGTTAAATAATTGCTGAAATTTTGCTTGATTATAAATTGTTTAAAGTTAACATCAGTAGTGAGTAGGTGCTCAATACATGGGGCGGCAGGTAGCTTAGTGGGTAAGAGCGTTGTGCCAGTAACCGAAAGGTCGCTGGTTCTAATCCCAGAGCTGACTAGGTGAAAAATCTGTCGCTGTGCCCTTAAGCAAGGCACTTAACCCTAATTGCTCCTGTAAGTCGCTCTGGATAAGAGCGTCTGCTAAATGACTAAAATGTAAATGTAAAAATATAATCAGTAACCTATAAAGATCTTATCATAAGCTCTCTTTGGCGCGATGGTAACACACTCAGCTTTTGATTAGACTACCGGAGTTCAAATCGCAGATGGCATCATGATTAATGAAGTATCATACTAACTTTAAACATCATGCTCATTATAAATGCATTGTGATTTAGTTTCGGTATCAGACAAACTTTTCTTATGATTTTGTTAGCAGACCGTACAGGCTGGCAGCTTATCGACAGTTCACCCTATGGCCACAAGGGAGAATTGGAAGAGGTGTACGGCGTGTCATCCCTGCATGTGTCATTTCTTCCATAAGGCACGCAAAACCAGAAGCAAGTGGCATTTACATAGGGTTTGAGTTTGAATAAAACTAGTTAATTTAGTAAATCTAGCATGTTGAATTTTTTTTCAAGACATAGGCCTAATACCTGTGCCTTATGTAAAAATAGCATTAGTTAGCTTGTCCACTATAACAACAGGTTCAAGTGTAACCAGATAAACTTGCTTTGAAGAAAAAACTACTTTCAACGTGCAATAACACCAAGTCCCTGTTGCTAGAGTAGTGGCTTCAACTAGCTTTGGCTGCCAACTATTGGAAAGGAATGGTAACTACACTGGACAGCTAGTTGGCAGAGGCAAAGGAGAATTGTATAATATATGACACTTAGCAGACGTCTTTATCCAAAGCGAACTGGGAACATGCAGTGGTGGGAAAAGTACTCAATTGTTTACAGACAGATGATTTCACTTATAATTCACTGTATCACAATTCCAGTGGGACAGAAGTTTACATACACTAAGTTGACTGTGCCTTTAAACAGCTTGGAAAATTCCAGAAAATGATGTCATGGCTTTAGAAGCTTCTGATAGGCTAATTGATATCATTTGAGTCAATTGGAGGTGTACCTGTGGATGTATTTCAAGGCCTACCTTCAAACTCAGTGCCTCTTTGCTTGACATCATGGGAAAATCAAAAGAAATCAGCCAAGACCTCAGAAAAGAAATTGTAGACTTCCACAAGTCTGGTTCATCCTTGTGAGCAATTTACAAACGCCTGAAGGTACCACGTTCATCTGTACAAACAATAGTATGCAAGTATAAACACCATGGGACCACGCAGCCGTCATACAGCTCAGGAAGGAGACGCATTCTGTCTCCTAGAGATGAACGTACTTTGGTGCGAAAAGTGCAAATCAATCCCAGAACAACAGCAAAGGACCTTGTGAAGATACGGTTTGCAACAAAGATCATACTTTTTGGAGAAATGTCCTCTGATCTGATGAAACTGTGGTATCTAAATAATGATGCTAATTATGCTGTGATGACAAGAAATCCGCTGACACTGTCCTTGATTATAATAGTTTATTACATCAAAGATTTCAGCATCAATTTACAGACTCCTGCAGACATCTGGAGAACAACTGACCCAATCTCTAATATGTTGTTCCTCCTCGCCCTTTGTTCCAACCATGGTATTTATAATATGTAACATGATATGGGTGGTTCTCCCATAAACCAATCCCAGGCCTTCACATAACAGACTTCCTCTGTTTTAGGGGGCCCCTATAGTAATGCTTTCCAGATGCTTCCGCAAGCTGAGTCAACTTCCTCTAACACACCATTTGCAAACGTCAGCAAAGTCATAAACTGTTTAGACACTACATATTTCCCCCCTTCGAGACTAATTAAGTCTCGAAAACAAAAAGAATAGGATTATGACAAATAACAATTTCTCTTATTGAGTAACTTTAGCAATAAACCTAAATGTATGGAGAGTAAACACATTTTTCTATGGAGTGTAAATAAATTTCTATGAAATATGAACAAATCTTTATGGAGTGTGAGAGCGAAAAACCTGTCTGGCAGCTTTCTTTCCAAATATCCATCAATCAATCAAGACAGTAAAATTCTCTCACGGCCCCTCTGCCCCAGGCGACCACCTAAGTACTCCAGATCAATTCATATATCTTTATCAATGCATTTTAAACTATGATGCAGTTGAATACACATGAAAGCCTCAGAAAACAAAATACAATCAAAAATGAATACAGAAAGGATATGACACAAATTATGTATTACACATGCAAATATGTCTATATATCATTGCAGACACTGGAATGTAGTCCACTACACTGCATCTCCTCAGCAGTGTCGACTTTCAATGAAACGTCGATGATGGGATCTGTCCCGTCTGGGGTATGTTTATGGGTGAATGTGGACATTTTTGATTGTATTTTGTTTTCTGAGGCTTTCATGTGTATTCAATTGCATCATAGTTTAAAATGCATTGCTAAAGATTTATGAATTGATCTGGAGTACTTAGGTGGTCGCCTGGGGCAGAGGGGCCGTGAGAGAATTTTACTGTCTTGACTGATTGACGGATATTTGGAAAGAAAGCTGCCAGACAGGTTTTTCGCTCTCACACTCCATAAAGATTTGTTCATATTTCATAGAAATGTATTTACACTCCATAGAAAAATGTGTTTACTCTCCATACATTTTGGTTTATTGCTAAAGTTACTCAATAAGATAAATTGTTATTTGTCATAATCCTATTCTTTTTGTTTTCGAGACTTTGCTGACGTTTGCAAATGGTGTGTTAGAGGAAGTCTGTTATGTGGAGGCCTGGGATTGGTTTATGGGAAAACCACCCATATCATGTTACAGATCATAAATACCATGGTTGGAACAAAGGACGAGGAGGTACAACATATTAGATATTGGGTCAGTTGTTCTCCAGATGTCTGCAGGAGTCTGTAAATTGACGCTGAAATCTTTGATGTAATAAACTATTATAATCAAGGACAGTGTCAGCGGATTTCTTGTCATCACAGCATAATTAGCATCGTTATTTCGATACCACAAAACAAAAATAGAACTGTTTGGCCATAATGGCCATTGTTATGTTTGGAGGAAAAAGGGAGTTGCTTGCAAGCCGAAGAACACCATCCCAACCGTGAAGCACGGGGTGGCAGCATCATGCTGTGGGGGTGCTTTGCTGCAGGAGGGACTGGTGCACTTCACAAAATAGATGGCATCATGAGGAAGGAAAATTATGTGATATATTGCCACTTTAAGAAGTTACGTTGCAGTTTAAATACACACCAAAATATGTTACAGCTACTATAAAAATGGCACATCACTCAGACAGTTAGTGAATACACAGCATGCAGCACAGCAAACAATCAATCAATCAATCAAATGTATTTTACAAAGCCCTTTTTACATCAAAATAACAACCACAGTGGTTATAGATTGTGCAACAGTTCAACACCTCAGTAGCAAATGTCAGTTGGCTTTTTATAGCTGAGCATTCATAGGTCGAGACAACAGGTCCGGCGGAGAGGGAGAGAGAGAGTCGAAACAGCAGTTCTGGAACAAGTTAGCACGTTCGTTGAAACGGGTATAAAAATTAGTCAAAAAACAATTCCACTCCAATTACCTTCATGGATGGGTGTATCTTTGAATTCGCTGTTGAATGGCCTGCTCCTTCTCCATTTTCGTAACACCAGCCCGCTCCCCCAAAGTGACCGCCACTCTCTCTCTTTGGGCACTCTGGAGAGTCCGCTGGGATGGTCCTAGAGCCAGATATAAGTTACACAAATCATTTTAGGTAATTTCTCTCTATATGTCTACATCATTATATTATCGACATAATATAATACACTTACCATTGGCACAGCGGTCAACAATGCCATGTAGGAGCTCAGATCGGAAACACCATGTCTTCTCCTTGATGGGTTTCACCACAAACGACCTGGCAGCCTTGGAAAACTCTTGCTTGAAACGGAGCACTCCCTCCTTTGTTGTAGCCCCTCCTTTGTTGTAGCCTGCTGTCTGTCCACAGAATAATTGTGGTCCAAGGCAGCCATTTGGAGTCTTGCAACCATCCCCTGCTGGCCGAACTTGTTCCTCTTGGGCACATATTTAGTGTACAGGGCGTGTACACTCTCGAGTTCACCTGTCTGAACACACTTCGTCACCTACAAAAGAAGATATCTAATTAATGTTACTAGAGATTAATAAGTAGGCAACTATAATTATACTGTTACTGATTTTATTAAATCAATCAGTTGTAGTTATTCACATAGGAAAAATGTGCTTATTAATTTATTCAAAATGTTGCAGTATATGTACAGAAATAGTTTATACGTTTTTTTTTTCCCTTCTCGAGATCCTTCAACAATCTCGGGTTGAGGACAATTTTCCTTACCGGCTCGAAAGCTGCCGACGATGTGTTCATCCAGGGTCGTGTTCCCTCTTCTTCATGTGTGTAGGGGGGCGGTGCTCACAGCAGTTGCGTGTGTCTCCAGTGACCCACTGGTGTTCATTTGTGATGTGGTGAACTGCGGTGATCCACTTTTGTTTAAGCACCTGGACACTCCCACCAGCAGTGGCGGCACAGTACCACAAGTGGTGCGTTAATGCCCTCACCCATGGCAGTATCTGAGACAGGGAATAAATGAGACCCTGAGTCACTGAATCATCATAATCATATACAGTGGCTTGCGAAAGTATTCACCCCCCTTGGCACTTTTCCTATTTTGTTGCCTTAAAACCTGGAATTAAAATGGATTTTTGGGGGGTTTGTATTTTTTGATTTACACAACATGCCTACCCCCTCCCAAAGTCAATACTTTGTAGAGACGCCTTTTGCAGCAATTACAGCTGTCAGCAAGTCTGTGGTCCTCTGTAGCTCAAATGGTAGAGCATGGCACTTGTAATGCCAGGGTAGTGGGTTTGATCCCCGGGACCACCCATACGTAAAAATGTATGCACACATGACTGTAAGTTGCTTTGGATAAAAGCGTCTGCTAAATGGTAAATTATTATTAAGTCTCTTGGGGTATGTCTCTTTAAGCTTGGCACATCTAGCCACTGGGATTTTTGCCCATTCTTCAAGGCAAAACTGCTCCAGCTCCTTCAAGTTGGATGGGTTCCGCTGGTGTACAGCAATCTTTAAGTCATACCACAGATTCTCAATAGGATTGAGGTCTGGGCTTTGACTAGGCCATTCCAAGAAATTTTAATGTTTCCCCTTAAACCACTCAAGTGTTGCTTTAGCAGTATGCTTAGGGTCATTGTCCTGCTGGAAGGTGAACCTCCGTCCCAGTCACAAATCTCTGGAAGAATGAAACAGGTTTCCCTCAAGAATTTCCTTGTATTTAGCGCCATCCATCATTCCTTCAATTCTGACCAGTTTCCCAGTCCCTGCCGATGAAAAACATTGGGATGGTGTTCTCGGGGTGATGAGAGGTGTTGGGTTTGCGCCAGACATAGCGTTTTCCTTGATGGCCAAAAAGCTCCATTTTAGTCTCATCTGACCAGAGTACCTTCTTCCATATGTTTGGGGAGTCTCCCACATGCCTTTTGGTGAACACCAAACGTGTTTGCTTAATTCTTTCTTTAAGCAATGGCTTTTTTCTGGCCACTCTTCCGTAAAGCCAAGCTCTGTGGTGTGTACGGCTTAAAGTGGTCCTATGGACAGATACTCCAATCTCCGCTGTGGAGCTTTGCAGCTCCTTCAGGGTTATCTTTGGTCTCTTTGTTGCCTCTCTGATTAATGCCCTCCTTGCCTGGTCCATGAGTTTTGGTGGGCAGCCCTCTCTTGGCAGGTTTGTTGTGGTGCCATATTCTTTCCATTTTTTAATAATGGATTTAATGGTGCTCCGTGGGATGTTCAAGTTTCAGATATTTTTTTATAACCCAACCCTGATCTGTACTTCTCCACAACTTTGTCCCTGACCTGTTTGGAGAGATCCTTGGTCTTCATGGTGCGGCTTGCTTGGTGGTGCCCCTTGCTTAGTGGTGTTGCAGCCTCTGAGGCATTTCAGAACAGGTGTACAGTGGGGGTAAAAAGTATTTAGTCAGCCACCAATTGTGCAAGTTCTCCCACTTAAAAATATGAGAGAGGCCTGTAATTTTCATCATAGGTACACGTCCACTATGACAGACAAATTGAGAAAAAAAAATCCAGAAAATCACATTGTAGGATTTTTTATGAATTTATTTGCAAATTGTGGTGGAAAATAAGTATTTGGTCACCTACAAACAAGCAAGATTTCTGGCTCTCACAGACCTGTAACTTCTTCTTTAAGAGGCTCCTCTGTCCTCCACTCGTTACCTGTATTAATGGCACCTGTTTGAACTTGTTATCAGTATAAAAGACACCTGTCCACAACCTCAAACAGTCACACTCCAAACTCCACTATGGCCAAGACCAAAGAGCTGTCAAAGGACACCAGAAACAAAATTGTAGACCTGCACCAGGCTGGGAACACTGAATCTGCAATAGGTAAGCAGCTTGGTTTGAAGAAATCAACTGTGGGAGCAATTATTAGGAAATGGAAGACATGCAAGACCACTGATAATCTCCCTCGATCTGGGGCTCCACGCAAGATCTCACCCCGTGGGGTCAAAATGTTCACAAGAACGGTGAGCAAATATCCCACAACCACACGGGGGGACCTAGTGAATGACCTGCAGAGAGCTGGGACCAAAGTAACAAAGCCTACCATCAGTAACACACTACGCCGCCAGGGACTCAAATCCTACAGTGCCAGACGTGTCCCTCTGCTTAAGCCAGTACATGTCCAGGCCCGTCTGAAGTTTGCTAGAGTGCATTTGGATGATCCAGAAGAGGATTGGGAGAATGTCATATGGTCAGATGAAACCAAAATATAACTTTTTGGTACAAACTCAACTCGTCGTGTTTGGAGGACAAAGAATGCTGAGTTGCATCCAAAGAACACCACACCTACTGTGAAGCATGGGGGTGGAAACATCATGCTTTGGGGCTGTTATTCTGCAAAGGGACCAGGACGACTGATCCGTGTAAAGGAAAGAATGAATGGGGCCATGTATCGTGAGATTTTGAGTGAAAACCTCCTTCCATCAGCAAGGGCATTGAAGATGAAACGTGGCTGGGTCTTTCAGCATAACAATGATCCCAAACACACCGCCCGGGCAATGAAGGAGTGGCTTCGTAAGAAGCATTTCAAGGTCCTGGAGTGGCCTAGCCAGTCTCCAGATCTCAACCCCATAGAAAATCTTTGGAAGGAGTTGAAAGTCTGTGTTGCCCAGCGACAGCCCCAAAACATCACTGCTCTAGAGGAGATCTGCATGGAGGAATGGGCCAAAATACCAGCAACAGTGTGTGAAAACCTTGTGAAGACTTACAGAAATCGTTTGACCTGTATCATTGCCAACAAAGGGTATATAACAAAGTATTGAGAAACTTTTGTTATTGACCAAATACTTATTTTCCACCATAATTTGCAAATAAATTAATAAAAAATCCTACAATGTGATTTTCCTATGATGAAAATTACAGGCCTCTCTCATCTTTTTGAGTGGGAGAACTTGCACAATTGGTGGCTGACTAAATACTTTTTCCCCCCACTGTATATATACTGAGATCATGTGACAGATCATGTGACACTTAGATTGCACACAGGTGGACTTTATTTAACTAATTATGTGACTTCTGAAGTTAATTGGTTGCACCAGATCTTATTTAGGGGCTTCATAGCAAAGGGGGTGAATACATACTGTATGCACGTACCACTTTTCCGTTATATATTTTTTAGAATATTTTGAAACAAGTTATTTTTTTTCATTTCACTTCACCAATTTGGACTATTTTGTGTATGTCCATTACATGAAATCCAAATAAAAATCCATTTAAATTACAGGTTGTAATGCAACAAAATAGGAAAAACGCCAAGGGGGATGAATACATTTTCAAGGCACTATAGTTTTGATTTTACTATAAAATATATGACAGTACCTCTGGCTTCCCGATGGCCACCAGCTGTTTCCTCAAACCTTTGGCAATGTGCCACAGGTCATACTCATTCCAGATATCAGCATGTGAGTCCCTCAAGTGCACCATCACACTTGGATGCCTGTCAGTGGCCAGGGTTAATACTGCATCAATGGGCCTGTTAGTAATAATGATTTTATTATTATTATCCTAAAGGTACCTACGTCCTCTTCATACATCCACCAAGTACACACTTAACAACCCTTAGGCTAGCTACAAAATATAGGTTAGGCTATAGCTTACCTCAATGTGTTGCAGGCATCTCTCTAATCCCTCCGTCTCCAACCAGTAGCTGTTCTTCACTTCAGTCACATGCACAGTCTCCTGGGCAAGGATCAGGTGGGAAGCAGAGTCAAGGAGGCACAATGGCCTGGTGAATCACACCGTGCGTCTCCAGATACGCTTAGTGGACTGTCACCAATTGTAGCCAGAATGGCCTCCGTGTGCTGGGTTCACATGTAGTTAACCTCTGGCACAATGTAGATGCGCTGTTGGTTTACGAACTGTCGCAGCAACATGGACACCAGGCTGAGGAGGTGACATGTTTCCACAAAAGTGGAGTGGGAGCCGCCAGTAAGGAAGACTGCTGATGGCACCAACAGATTCCCTGCAAACAACTTTCCCACTCTGGTCTGGGACTCCCACTTCTTCTGGGACGCCCACAACACACTCTGTATCCATGGTGATGGCAAAACCATTTCTTTTCAGGGATGAACTGATGACACCTGCTCAACATCCTGGCTCATGGCAGACATTGAACAACTCCTTCAGCTTGCTATCAAAGACTATGTATTTCGGATCTTGCACACACTCTTCGATAGTATATCTTGGCTCGCACTGTGATGATTGTGATTCTGAGCTCTCAGTTCTGGTCTTCACTGATCTCACTCTCACTCTCACTCTCCGTCAGCTCCATCTTAGGCGTATAGCGGCAGGACTCGGTTGTATACTGATGGTCGTGAGCGCAATCTAGCTGGACCAAGAGCTCTTTAGTGATGGTCCAGGTGGACCCCTTCTCCACCGCAGCAACAGTCTGGCACCCAGGGTTCAGTTTGGTATGCTGTACTAACCGTTCTTTCCTGTTGGTAGAAAACAATTAAGGCATCTATTAGGCTATAGGTATATTCAAGAATCACTGCATATACTGTATATTGTACATTTTATATCCAAAATGGCCTCTGGGATGACAGATTGTGTCTTGAAATAAACAATAGCCTTAGAAATAACATGGATTTGCTTGTACCTCCTTTGCCTCCTCCTGCACAGTCTCCTCCAGGATGAAAACTTTTCAGGGATAAAGATGTCATCTTGAAAACAAACAAACGTTTTGTTAAGACAACTGAACCCAAATATATCACTTGGCGCTAACAAGCTACCTGTCTTGTATGCTATGTCAACACAAACACACACACACACACACACACACAGCAAATACAGGAACATTTATTTTTCAGCAAACATTAGCTATGTCAACTTCAGTCTAGCTAAATAAGGTGGAGCTAACAAAACAAAACTGTCAACAAAATGTATTACAGTAGTTGACTATCTGAGGTGGAAGCTAGCTACAGTAACTGTGTTGCAATTTTAGTTGCAGTTGAGATACTTGCTACCGTTAGCTGCTGGGGGTTTTACACAAAACACTTCAGACGCAATTGAGAATGGAGGGTCAAGCAGAGGGCTTTAACGTTGTTCACTTATAGGTTATTACTTCCCCCTGATTACCGTATTAACCCCTCGTTTCATGTGTCTCTACTCAGGCCGGTAGTGGTTGGTCCGCTCCAGGAGTCTGAGGTGCGGGAGGTTCTTCCACCTCCCCTGGACATCGAGGAAGCCCCAGCGTACTCTGTCCGTTCCATCCTGGATTCGAGGCGTCGGGTGGGGGGCCTTCAGTACCTCATGGAGTGGGAGGGGTACGGTCCGGAGGAATGGTGCTGGGTCCCGGTAAGGGATATCCTCGATCCCTCCCTGTTGCGGGATTTACACCTTCGCCATCCGGCTCGCCCTGCTCCGCGTCCTCCTGGCCGTCCCTGAGGCCGGGGTCGGCGCGCTGCTGGAGCTGCGCGTCAAGGGGTGGGTACTGTCATGACTTCCGCCGAGGCTGCAACCCCTCCTTGTTCGGGCAGGCTTCGGCGTTTGTCGTCACCAGCTTACTAGCCACTGCCGCTCCATTATTCATCATTCCATTTGTCTTGTCTTGTCAATCACACAAACCTGGTTCTTATCCCCTCATTAGTCCGTGTATAAGTGTTCCCTCTGCCCCCCTTGTCCTTGTGGGTGATTGTTTATTTGTGAGAGTAGCGTAGCTCGGTGGAGCTACTCGTACCTTGTTATTGCCGAGGTAGATATTTCCCCTGTGCCTGTATTTGTTGGAGCTACTGTTACCTTGTATTGCCAGGGTAGATTTTCCCCTGTGCCTGTTTCGTTTGTCACTATCCAGCACTATTTGTGTACGACAGAATAAACTCTGCATTCGGTGATTACCCTCCTGCGCCTGACTCCTTCTATCACACTCATCACAGAATCACCCATCTTGCTATGGAGTCAGAGGGAGAAGAACGCATGTATTCCACGATGCTGGCCAGCTTGGTGGAAGCGATGGATCGGGTTCTTCAGGTCGTCAAATGCCTGGAGAGGAGAGGACCCGATCTGTCGAGATCAGCTGGCCAACCGGATCCAGCCACCTACACCCCAGCACCCGGAGGGATCGAGATATCCAGACCACGGGCGTTCGAAGGGACAGCGGTGCTCTGCCAAGGATTCCTCCTCCAACTGGAGCTTAACTTCTCCAGCATCAGGCTGGCGCCATCGGAGCGGGAGAAGGTGTCCGTCCTCGTTTCCTGCCTCGGGAAAAGCCCTGGAGTGGGCTAACGCGGTTTGGAACGAAGGAGGAGCTGCGTTGGAGGACTACGGGGAGTTTGCTCGCCTCTTTCGGGCGGTCTTTGATCACCCGCCTGATGGTCGAGAGGCGGACGAGCGGCTGGTCCACCTGAGGCAGGGGACGAGAACCGCGCAGGACTTTGCTTTGGAGTTTCGCACTCTGGCAGCAGGGTCCGGGTGGAACGAGCGGGCCCTGATTGACCATTTCCGGTGCCTTCTGCGGGAGGACGTCCGACGGGAGCTAGCCTGCTGGGACACCACGTTGTCTTTCGAAACTGGTGGACGTGGCCATCCGTTTGGACAACCTGCTGGCAGCCAGAGGACGTCCTGGTAGGGGTCTGCCCATTTCCACCCCGGACGACTCGGATCCCGAGCTGATGGAGCTGGGTGGAGCCGCCGTCCGATAGAGCGGAGGACGACAGCGACAGTGCCACTCTGGTGGTACGAAGGGACAGTACACCACACGTCGTAGTCAACGCACTTTTGGCCCTGGAGGCGGCAGGCAGGGCACTCTCGCATCACCCCAGGTATCGAACACCCACACTCGTTCAGAGCTCTCTGCTGCGCACTGTACCCTACCTATCCACTTTCCCGATCACATGGTAGTTCCCCAGTGTAAGGCACAGGTAGATTCAGGCACAGCTGGGAATTTATGGACAGGGCATTCTCACGCCGTCAAGGCTTTTCATTTGTTCTCCTATCTATTCCACTCCCCATCAGAGCACTTGATAGTCGACCATTAGGGTCCGGGTTTGTAAAGGAAGTCACTGTACTAGTTACCATGATCACCCAGGAAACTCATTGTGAGCAGGTTACTTTTTTGATTATTGGGTCTCCTGCTTTCCTTGTGTTATTAGGTATCCCTTGGCTAGCACTCCACAACCCCACCTATCCTTGGCCGCAGAGGGTTCTCACCGGCTGGTCGCGAGAGTGTCAGGGTAGGTTTCTAGGTTTTTCCGTTGGTGCAACCATGGTGGAAAGACCAGACGGTACCTCCACCGTGCGCATTCCCCCCGAATACCTCGATTTGGCGCACGCGTTTTCAAAGACGCGAGCTCCTAAATTACCACCTCATCGGGCGGGGGATTGCGCGATAAACATTTGGGTAGACGCTGTACCTCCCAGGAGTCATGTGTACCCCTGTCGCAGGCTGAAACGGAGGCTATGAAAACATACGTCACCGAGTCCCTTGGTCAGGGGTACAGTGAGGGAAAAAAGTATTTGATCCCCTGCTGATTTCTTACGTTTGCCCACTGACAAAGAAATGATCAGTCTATAATTTTAATGGTAGGTTTATTTGAACAGTGAGAGACAGATTAAGAACAAAAAATCCAGAAATACGCATGTCAAAAATGTTATAAATTGATTTGCATTTTAATGAGGGAAATAAGTATTTGACCCCCTCTCAATCAGAAAGATTTCTGGCTCCCAGGTGTCTTTTATACAGGTAACGAGCTGAGATTAGGAGCACACTCTTAAAGGGAGTGCTCCTAATCTCAGTTTGTTACCTGTATAAAAGACACCTCTCCACAGAAGCAATCAATCAATCAGATTCCAAACTCTCCACCATGGCCAAGACCAAAGAGCTCTCCAAGGATGCCAGGGACAAGATTGTAGACCTACACAAGGCTGGAATGGGCTACAAGACCATCGCCAAGCAGCTTGGTGAGAAGGTGACAACAGTTGGTGCGATTATTCGCAAATGGAAGAAACACAAAAGAACTGTCAATCTCCCTCGGCCTGGGGCTCCATGCAAGATCTCACCTCGTGGAGTTGCAATGATCATGAGAACGGTGAGGAAACAGCCCAGAACTACACGGGAGGATCTTGTCAATGATCTCAAGGCAGCTGGGACCATAGTCACCAAGAACACAATTGGTAACACACTACGCCGTGAAGTACTGAAATCCTGCAGCGCCCGCAAGGTCCCCCTGCTCAAGAAAGCACATATACAGGGCCGTCTGAAGTTTGCCAATGAACATCTGAATGATTCAGAGGAGAACTGGGTGAAAGTGTTGTGGTCAGATGAGACCAAAATCGAGCTCTTTGGCATCAACTCAACTCGCCGTGTTTGGAGGAAGAGGAATGCTGCCTATGACCCCAAGAACACCATCCCCACTGTCAAACATGGAGGTGGAAACGTTATACTTTGGGGGTGTTTTTCTGCTAAGGGGACAGGACAACTTCACTGCATCAAAAGGACGATGGACGGGGCCATGTACCGTCAAATCTTGGGTGAGAACCTCCTTCCCTCAGCCAGGGCATTGAAAATGGGTCGTGGATGGGTATTCCAGCATGACAATGACCCAAAACACACGACCAAGGCAACAAAGGAGTGGCTCAAGAAGAAGCGCATTAAGGTGCTGGAGTGGCCTAGCCAGTCTCCAGACCTTAATCCCATAGCAAATCTGTAGAGGGAGCTGAAGGTTCGAGTTGCCAAACGTCAGCCTCGAAACCTTAATGACTTGGAGAAGATCTGCAAAGAGGAGTGGGACAAAATCCCTCCTGAGATGTGTGCAAACCTGGTGGCCAACTACAAGAAACATCTGACTTCTGTGATTGCCAACAAGGTTTTTGCCACCAAGTACTAAGTAATGTTTTGCAGAGGGGTCAAATACTTATTTCCCTCATTAAAATGCAAATCAATTCCTAACATTTTTGATGTGTTTTTCTGGATTTTTTTGTTATTATTCTGTCTCTCACTGTTCAAATAAACCTACCATTACAATTACAGACTGATCATTTCTTTGTCAGTGTGAAAACGAACACAATCAGCAGGGAATCAAATACTTTTTTCCCTCACTGTATATATGTCCCTCCACTTCACCCGCCTCCTCGAGTTTCTTCTTTGTGAAGAAGAAAGACGACGTTCTGTGACCGTGCATTGATTATCGATCACTGAACAAGGTAACAATAAGATTTAGTTATCCTCTCCACCTCATTCCTTCAGTGATTGAGTCAATGCATGGGGAGCGCTTCTTCACCAAATCTCAGGAGTGCATACAACCTGGTGCGTGTTCGGGAGGGGAATGAGTGGAAGACAGCATTCAGCACAACCACGGGGCATTATGAATACCTTGTGATGCCCTACGGTTTGATGAATGCTCCATCCTTCTTCCAGTCCTTTGTGAACGAGGTGTTTCGGGACATGCTTGGTCACAGTGTGGTGGTCTACATCGATGACATCCTGGTGTATCCCGCTACGCGCGTCGAGCATGTGTCCCTGGTTCGCAAAGTGCTGGCCCGACTATTGGAAAATGACCTTAATGCCAAGGCAGAGAAGTGTATGTTTTTCCAGCAGTCCGTCTCTTTCCTTGGATACCGCATTACCACCTCAGGTGTGGAGATGGAGGGAGATCGCATTTCAGCCGTGCGTAATTGGCCGACTCCAACCACGGTTAAGGAGGTGCAGCGCTTCCTTGGCTTTGCC